TTGGGATATATTTAAGTAGTTTAAGGCTCCTGAGTAGTCACCACAGCCATATTGAATCGTAATATCAAAAGCGAAGAATGACATGTTAATTTATGTTGCATGCCATTTGTAACTAAAAACAATTTGGATAAATCTAAATGATGTGATTACTTTAAAACATATATAAAAATCGAAAACTATGCTTATCCGCCCTAACAGTCAGTAAATAATCGTAAAAAGTGGTAAAAGGCAGATGAAGTGCTTTTATTCAATGCGCATGCGTAGTTTATTTTCACTTACACATGCCTTTTATCCCGTTTTATGATTATTTACTGACTGTCAGGGAGAATAAGCATAGTTTTCATCGATTTTTACAAATGTTTTAAAGCAATCTCATCATTTGGATTTATCCAAATTATCTTTAGTTACAAATGGCATGCAACATAAATTAACGTGTCATTCTTTGCTTTTGACGATTCAATATGGCTGTAGTGACTATTCAGGAGCCTTAATTAAAAATATTTATTTGTGGAGTTAATCAACCCTGCCAAATTATATTCAGCTATCATTATGCGCAATGTTACACCTGGTATTCTCATTACATCATGGGTGATCAGTTTAAATGTTTGAAATATTTCTCGTTGCAGCACATTCATTCGAAAAGTAACATAATACATTATCACGCAAAAAATAACATATTTCAGTATGGAACGAGGTTGCTTGCTTAAGATTTTACGGGAAACGCAACCGAGAAGAGTTGGAATTTATATACCTGTAACAATGAATGTTTTGTGATGAAAGTAAGTTTGATTGTTTTGAAGATCGAAGCTGTAATTTCTTTTATGACGATATTAAAGACAATGTTTCAACAATAGTTAATTTTGCGATAACGGGAGATAAAATTGGTATTTCTGAGGATGACGTTTAGAAGACGTTTGGCATATTTGAAGAATCTGAAAAAATCGAGTACTGGAGAATTGAACGAGTGCACAAGAAAATAAATCGGAAAGTACATCGTTGCGCCATCTACCATAAAAATGGGAAGCGAAACGAGAGGAAGAGGTAAATATGCGGTATGATAAATACATATAGCTATCATATCGACAAAGATATATTCGACCATAATTTCGCGCCCTTTGGTCATTGCTTCGTAATTTATACTTTTCAGAAATACTGAGAAAGTCTACATATTTCCTTAGAATTTTTCTTATATATGAATTCTGTGAGATGTGTAGATTTTCTCGACACTTCTGAAAAGTGTTCCTATTTGTATAAAAAATCTGAGTTTAAAAAATTATAAAATTATTCATAAATTCTGAAAAATTCTAAAAAATTATAATATAAAAAAGTCCGAAAAAAATTATTAACGGAGACATTGAAATTTTCAAATATGAGGTAAAAGTGTAGATCAGGAGAGCTCTCCCCAATGACATTGGCCTTGACATGTTATCAAGGTCATGACCCCGAGTGACCTTGAGGAAGTTTTAACTGCAGGATGTTACTCGTTAAAAAGTTATTAATAAAACAATTTATAGGAATTTCCGAACACATAGCTACATATTTCAGTAATAAATTATAGCGTTGTAAAGTGTATGCAGTAGGTGAAGCACTCTCACCTCCGACTCTCACCCCCTCCCCCCTGCAAAGGGATGCATGACTTTCACCTTCAACTCTCACCCCCCCCCCCCTGCCAAGGGACGCCC